TTCGGCATGACTTGGGCTGGTACGATTTCATAGAAATTTAAAAAAGAAACAAAAAAGGGATGCAATGGGAATCTAAGCTCAGCCTTAACCGAATCTAGGTGGACTACGACCATCCCAGGGAGATGGCGCATTGGGTGAAGCCATTGTTCTAAAACTCGCTAGGCGCTAGTCAGGCGGTTGAGAGGCGCCTAGCGCCTAGGCGGCCGAGTAGACTGATTTTTTGGCCGACTAGGCCAATTTTTCGACCGACTAGGCCGACTAGGCCTCTACAGTTAGGGCCGACTAGGCCGCCTAGGCCGATTAATCGGTCCGCCTAGGCCGATTTTTAGAACAGTGGGTGAAGCCCAACCCGCAAACGGAAATTTACTGGGTCTGGAATTAGGGCCAGAATTTGGGCCTTATTGTGAGAAGTTAGCTTCTGCCGCCTTTCCCTAATCAGCCTTAGGTCAATTTTGTAACGAGGAACATCGCCCGGGGGTCCAGCCACCATGGAAGCAAGTTCATCACCAGACTTCGCATCATCGGAATCATCATCGGAAGAAGAAGAACCGGCGGAAGAATCCTCCGCCTCCGCTATATTTCTTCCACCGCCTCGTTAGTGCCTTCAGCAAAAGGGACACGTATGGCGTCCACTACGGCGGCATCTTGATTTTCCCCTTGGGAATCCATCCCGAATCAGAGGAGCAGGATCGAGGACACATATCGATCGAGGCAAAAGGAGTGGAGGAAAAAATTAAAGAACGGGGAATACCTGAACACAAAAAAGCCTGAAGGATCTGAAGAGAAGGCAGAACAAAGGCTCGAAGGAAATGAGAATGTGAAACCAATATCCAAGGAATTCAAGGCCTATTTATAGCCTGACAGGCGTCGAATCAATAACCAATCAGAAAAAGACACGTCACCCGGACTATTTGAAAGAACCCGTGTCGCATGGGAGAGCAAAGGTCAATAATCGTGACCATTTTCTGAAATATCCAAAGTTCGTGTTGGGCTTTCCGATCTGCGGGACTTAACCTCGACAACTACTTTTCTAATTTTTTTATCAATCACAGAACTTCATTGAAAACCTTTTCAACAGAAAAAACGGACTATTGAATAAATTTATTTTTCTAATATAGAATTACATGTTCCCTGCTTCCATTGAATTTAGCAATGGAACCACCCAGACACTCTTCATCAAGAGTAGTTTCTAATATTCAGTGTTAACTGAATATTGTATATGATAGAACTTCTCCCGATTAAAAACACCTTTTATAAAATCTTACAGCTGAACTTAAAAACATGAAATCATAGAGTAGTGTCTGAGCCATACACCAACTTCAAAATAAATTTACATAAATATAGAACTGCCGACCTCCAACCTTCAATAAAAGCTTTGGCCTGACTCATGAATTGATTAGGAGCAAAGGAAACATGTTGACATATCCTCTTGTTACGCTCTGTCCATAATCCGCAACAGCCCAAGGCAGCGGCCATCAACTCCTCTTCTCTCTTGGTTTGAAACACATTATGTAACCATTCCAGAAAAGAGCTAAATGGAGTATCAGACACCGATCAACCAACAGAACGCCAAGCATATCTTGCCACTGGACATTCCACGAACAAATGCAAGACAAATCCCCCCCCCCCCCCCCCTCGCACAGCCCAAAACAGTCCACTCTTCACTTCCTCAAATTCCCCCTAGTCAGCAATCAATCGTTACAAATCTGCCACAAAAGAGTTTTCGTCTTGGACGCTACATCCCAATTCCACATAACCCTCCAACCCCTCCAGTAAAGTGGTTCTTCTTCACCTACCAATTTTCTATAGCAACTGGGGACAGAAAATTTGCCATCTAACTCCCATCTCCAAACAATCCTATCCGAAATTGACCTAAAATTCAAAGGGATCTGTCTGATTAACCTCATGTCCCTGTTGTTGATGAGATCGGCCAAAATGTCCTCTTCCAAGACTGTCCCAAGCTGAGAGAACAGACCTGTCACCTTAATATCTTCCAAACCTGTTAAAACAAATGAAGTAATTTTACGATTAGTGTCATCAGGTAACCAAGGGTCTTCCCAGACCCGAATAGATTTGTCACTTTCCACACGCCACAGATACCCCTCTCTAATTATATCCTGGGCTTCAAAGAGGTTCCATTAAGAAACTTTTTCATGACAAATCAAGAAACCTTTTAGTTCTTATTATTACAATTAATAGGATAACAAAACAATAGCTATAGAGTATAGTGCTGCAAGCCTGCAACCATTCATGTTAAGACCTGAAATCATTTACATCACTAATAATCAATACAAACAAATCGCATGTGGCTCAATGCAATATAATATGTTGAAGCTCAAAACATGTAGGAATCTCGAAAAGATAGCCACGAGTCTAAAGGGAAAAAATTAAACTGCATAAGATGAAGCTTGAATAAAATCTCATAGCCATTGAGAGTTATTGAGGTAAGACACTCATGATAATAAGGTAGAATCTAAAACTCGATTACAATTATGAGTATTTTTTCCCCACCTCACCATAAACAAAGAAAAAAACTAAAATTGAATAAATCGGACCAGCTAACTATTCATGTACATGTTGAAGTAAAAAATGATTAAACCTCTATATAGAAAAGTCAAAAAGAGAGAAATTATTATGAAATAAAAGTAAGCATGACCCCAAGCTAGAAAAGCATTTTAAATTTTAATGAAGTTGAAAGAAACTTTAAAAAATGGACACGGCCATTAACCATTTTGCATTGTTACCCATTTATTTATCATTTTTATATGCAATCACTTGAGAATAAGTTCACCCTGTCACCGTCTGTAATGAAACTGCTGTAATCCCTCTCCGTAACTCAGATACGGCCAGATATGTCTGCCCACCAAAACCATCCTCTCCAGACACTTTCACATTCATTCACAACAATATGAAGAATAGCCAATTCTGGAATAGTTAATGGAAAATCAAATTCCTCATTTGAAACAGGTCTCCAATTGCCATCCACTTCTTTCTTCTTCATTTCACAACATGTGATCGTATATTCGTATAACATTTCCATCCCTTATTATTCATTTCAAGGAACACTCTAATTCCTCGGTCAAGGGATATATAATGAGACGGAGGGGAAATCATGTCATGGTGAATCTGTAAACCAAATAAATTCACTAAAAACAAATTACTCTCTTAAGAAGTGAATAAGAAACATGCAGGTAAAATAAGCAGAACTAAAATAATGGTTTGCATAATTACAAACCACAACCATTAATGTCCGTAAAGTTTATTGTTATACCTTACCTTTATTTTAATTTTACTTGCAATTTTTCATCTGATCCAATTTTTCATTTTTTTACAGTTACTATGTGTGTGTGTGTGTGTGTGTGTGTGTGTGTGTGTTTAGTAAAAGTTACATCATATAAACTCAAGGCTTGAGTATATTTTTAGTCCCTGCAAGTATAGTACTTTTTTTTACATCCTTGCAAAATCATTTTTAATTTTTCATCCCTGCAATTTATGTTGGGTTTTTAGTCTATCGGCTATAAGAGCAACCTTCGTTCGACCTCAAATTAATACTTTTAAGTAAATTTTTTGCTTGGAAACGGGAAAATGAAAGAAAACAAAAGAATGGAACCGGGTCCAAACCACCCAGTTATTTGGAACCGGCCCAGACCCGGATTTAACAGATCAGACCCGAGCTTTGGCTACCAATTATTGATGGACTCGGGCCGGGTCGGGCCCGGTCGGGCCGCCGGGTTGTATGACATGGGCCCGGGACCGGCCCGAGGGTTGGACGGGTCCAGTTCGGGCCGGGCCACCCGCCCGGGTCACGGGTCGGGTCCGGTTCGGGCCGGGCCGGTTAATTTTTTTTATAATTTATATTTTATAGTTTATAGTTTTATACGAGTATTAAAAACAAACTTCAATTGCATTTATTTGAAATGAAATAGGAACTACATTTGAAAATTAAAACAAACTTTAAGAGAAACATTTTGAAAATTGTAATCAATCGGAACTTCCCGCACCTCCCGATCCTTTGGCTTGTCACATGACTTCATATGCTTGATTGCCATCCCGAATCCGCCTGAAACCCCCATGCTACATTTTTTCTCGCACCATTTGCAAATTGTGTACCACATCCCGGTCTTCGGGTCCTTCTGCTTATCAAAATTATACCGTATAATGGCATCTTGATTTTCCATCTTAACTTCTTAAGTATAAACTATAAAGTAGATATATAAATAATAAATATAATATATTGGAGAATAAGAGAATTAGAGAGTAGAGAGTTAAGAATAGGATTTAGGAAAAATTGGAGAAGAGATGAAAAAATGTTTAAGATTAGGAGTATTTATAGGTTTTTTTACCCCCACCACCACCACCCCCCACCACCCAACCCCCCCGGACCCCCCCTTTACCCCACCCAACGGCTATATAGCCGTTTGGGTTGTCCCCAGCCCCACCCCCAACGGCTAGTAGCCCAAGAACCAATTTTTTTTTTTTAAATCTTAAGACCGAACCCGGGCCCGGGCCCGACCCGGCCGGGTCACATTAATCCAGCACCGAGCCCGCCCCGCCCATTCCCACCGGTTCGGGTCCATACCCGGTCCCGGAACGCCCAACCGGGCCGGTCCCGGGCCCGCACAGTACCAGGCCGGGCCGGGTCACGAGCCGAGTGGCCCGAACCGAATCCACCCCTACTACCAATGATTGGGACCCGTGGGTCTGGGATCGAGTCCACCCCTAATATTACATGCCAGTTGAGCTTCAAATGCACGGATCACCCAAACAAACCCGTATAATATCATCATACCTAAATTGTTGTTATGCGCCAATATCATATTTTGATAGTTTGATGAATACTTCATAGCTTGGGAAGGCATTGAATTTGTTAGTTGGTAACTTGGTATATTTGTTGACTTAATAACTGCAAGTCTGTTAAATCAAAATGTATTTGTTCATTAACGGAAACGCAGCCAAACACAATGGTCCATGGCTTTTGTTCTTGAAGAGCTTTTAAAGTTGGAGAAATAAACATGAATGAAATAGTTCGAATATGAGTACACCACTATTTGAAAAAGGACAAAAAATATGGTAAATTAATGCTTCGCATAAAAATACCTACACAAAGAATTAAGCTGGTTTCATATTTACATTGGGAAGGTAAATATCACAATTCACAAACATGGGATATTGAGATAGTAGAAGCAGCAGCAGCTAAGTTTAGCAAGACAACAAATAGAATTTTGAACTGGTGCTACATTAATAGGAGGATATTATCTTAATCATCATTTGGTTATAGACTCACTCTAATAACTTCCCCTGCCGCTGCATTAGCTGAGAAACAGCATCTCGAATGGAACTCCTCTTCTTGATGTGAGTTGAAGACGTCGACGGCTCATTTTGATGAAAAAATAGAGAATGGGGCCCGTTCCACACAGATCTGTTGTTATGGTTGGCGGCAAACAGAGTACTGCACAACCCAAGAATCCCGGGGTTATCTAGGTAGCGCAGCTTCTCCAACATCTTAGCTTTCTGATACTTGTCAAGCTTCTTCTCCTGCATGGCCCACCATTAGTGTATTAAATTAATATGCCAAACGACAAGATAAAAGATGCAAGTTACAAAACAGCTAAACGTCACCGCAGTCATCCAAACTCAACGGATGCCTACAAACCCATCATTTAGCAAAATTAGAGAAAATTGTTAATTTATCCCCGTATTCTCCATGAGTCCATTACTAGTCTTGTAGTTTTACTAGCAGATTTTGTTCTCTAACTAAAATTTTGACCACAATAAGAACTTTATTGCCGGAATGTACTGTTTCGGGCAGAAATATTCATGGCAGCCACACCTAATCCCAGACTTTTCTGGTGGAATTTGTACATACCGAGAGAGAAGTCCTTGAAGGCATTTTGAAATTACCTTGGCTTTCTGCTGCTGTTCAGTCTCACCACCGATCTGCAATGTTTCTTTATCACTGTGATTCAGTGTATGATTGCCACACTCTGCAGCTCGCTTTTGATGGATAGGATGGTCGTCATCTACAGATCTGCTAGAAGGACCACCACCTAACTCCATGAGTGCAGAAATTTGACTCTCCTTTTTTCCTAGAGTTCCTCTTTCGCCGTCTGGCTTTTCCTCTTCACTAGCACTTGCTGCCGCTAGCTTTGCCTCCTCTCCTACTTTCTCTTGCTGACTGGAGTCCATGTCTACTTCAGGGGGGGAGGAACTTTCCATATTCGGTGATGCACACTCACCACCCACACTTCCTGCAGGGGTAGTTTCCTTCATAAAAAGCAACAAACATTTAAACTAGCATTAAATTAAAGAATATTAAAATACAAGTTGTGGATAAAGACGCATAGGCCATACTATTGCAAAGGGCTGTTTACGTTTTCCATTTGGATCAAGATGATTATCTGGAATAAGTTATCTTTCAGTAAGGATGTTTTAAATTTGACTGAAATTTTCTGGTGTGATATGTAGTCTAGTCTAGTCCGTTTAAGTCTAGTAGGTCTAATCTGGGACTGAAACTAGTCCAAGTAAAAACATCCTAAGAGGCATGTTATTGTGTCTGCTGAACAAACAGTTTAAATTGGGTAAATAACCAATTTAAGATTATTCTTGAGTTATGAATGGCTAATGATACTTACTAACAAAATTCTATTCCAGGGTTTGCAAAATTGTCTGAATAGACACCACAGCAGAAGTTTTCGTGTGAATGAATCATTTATTAGAGCGTAATGATTACGTCAATTTTTAGCTAAATAAGTAAGTCGTGTTTCTAATAAGGTCGTAAGTCCAACCATTTTCAAAAGTCAATGGCATACAAGTGAATGATTTTGTTCAGAGCAATAAAAGAGGAGACAACTAAAGATTATAGTTTTCTGTTTTTGTCACCAAAGTTCGATAAGTAAATTGTAGATTGCTTAAAAGTCAAAACTTGTAAAAACAGTACATACATTAAATACATATATCTCATTATATGATTTTTGGGGAAAAACAGAAGACATCTACCTCAGGCTTAACCACCTCATCTGGACAGTCACTACTAGCGGCTTCCATCTGTTCTTCTTCAACAATTTTAGCAGCACTCTCCTCACGTTCTTGCCTCCGGCGTATCATCACACATATAGCACATAGGCAGGAAGTCTTGTGCTTCTTGAGTCTGGAAAACAACCCATATTAAAATCAGGGGAATATTTGTCTGCAGTATTTCTGTGAATTAAGACTAGAGCAGCAACCAATGGAAGTAGATGGCAAAATACTTATACTACCTCCGTTTCCCTAAGATTGTGACAAGAGGGAGTGGTGCGATTATTAAGATAAGTGGAATTGTGTGGTTGGTATTGAATTGGTAAAGTGTGAATAGTGTAAGAATGAATTGCAACCACCCAAATATTACCAAATATGGTACGGGACAAGTTTAGTGGAACGGAAGAAAAAAGTAAAATGAGACAAAGATAGGGGCGGAGTGAATATATATAAAAACAATAACACACCCATGAAGCTTTCTTGACTTATTATTAGTCAAGGAGGAACCACCTTTCAGTGATTCCTTCCCACTGCTGTCAGGTGGTGTAGCATCCTTTATTTGACTGCTCTCAACACCTACATAGCAGCACCAAAATAAGACTTGCTGCAAAAGTATTAAATTAGAGCCCAAATATAATTACATACTCTGTCCTCCAAAAAAAGGCATGCGTACACAAAAATTGTCACAAAAGAGAGTTCATTTTGATCAAACAAAGATAAATTCTCATGCGATGTGGCCAAAAATTGCCAAAAAGGATAATTAAGTAATAAACAAATTCCATATGATATTTAATACTACCTCCATCCCCTAACATTGGTACAAGAGGAGGTGGTGCGGTTACCAAGAACGATTTAGAACCACACACACACATTACCAAATTGGTATGGGACAATCTTAGTGGGACAGACCAAAAGGAAAGATGAGACAATTTTAACGGGATAGAGGGAGTATAACCCAATATATAATTTTAAAGTTCTAACTTCCAAGTTTGATTCATGATTTGTGAATGTTGTACTTGTTAAAATTAAATGGTTGAAGATGGACCAAACATACTCTCTTTTTTGGACAAACAATCATGAATTCTTGTTTTCAGGACAAAGGTAAAATTTAAAAAAACAAGGCAAATGACTAGGCATAGTTTACCCTGCGTGTAGTCATTGTATAATCCAGGAGATGCAAGCCAATACTTTGAAAAGTTCTTTTTCACACGTTTCATGAGATCCAAAACCAAATCGCCTTTATTATTGTACTTGTAGCAGTTATCCCATATGCATTGTACATCCTTATAGACATCCTCCGAGTTTGAGTATTTCACACCACTTTCAAGATTGTTACGTATAGTCCCAAAATCCATTGGTGTATCTATGACCTCAAAATAGTCCTGCTCCCACAATAATCACAACAACTATTGAGTACTGTGTATATATATGTATGTCTGTGTGTGTGCTAGTCACACACACTATCTCTTTCCACATAATTAGATGTATATAGTTATATACTATATATATAGATAAGAAAGATAGCATGAAAAAATCAACACATACAAGGACTTCATTCGAAGGCATTAAAGGAAGGTACATGCTGCTGCATATACGGGGGGGGGGGGGGGGGGGGGGAGGGGGGGGAATTAAAGATAATCATATCTATAGTTTGATCACATTGAGTATGCACTTGATAAGAGTATGAGTACGAAGTACTGAAGTTTTCAAAAGCAAACGAGGTGTATGCCCTTGAGGCGCAGAGGTGACTATGAAGCGTCTAAGAGGCTTAAGCCTTTATTTGTAAAATTGAGGTGTGTGCCTTGAAACATACGAGGAGATAAGGTGCGGAGCAGAAGGCAGTAGGGCGCAGAGGCTAACAGAGGCACAATCCACCTTTATTCTATATTTAAAGTTAAACTCTTAGAAAGTCTGATTTTTTATGGCTACTGGGACTTGGACCTATTTTTATATTTATTTTCTCTACTAAATACTAAAACACACCCAATCGTTGTTCTGTTGTTCATGTGACCTATTTTCAACTACTAAGGTTCCATCATCTTTCTATGATTGAGCAGTCTTCCAACGGGTCATCAGTCATCACCAATCTATCTTCAGTCATCAGTCATCACCAATAGTGATCCAATGGCCAACGGTAACCCCTAACAAGCTGGCATGTAGCTTAAACTCTTGTCTCTAATCTCTATTTCTCTTCTTTGCACTTTTTCTGTTAGAACTAAGTAGATAGTTAGCTACTGAATATGTACTTTATGTTTGTGATCTGAAATCCATTGGGACGGATGGACAGTATATATAGTATTATGGTTTATGATTTTTTATCGCTGAATATACTCTGTATTATATTTCATGTTTTCAATCCTGTTTCCTTCTTTTATCTATTGCTTTATGTATGCAAGAGTGTGACATGCTGGTGGGTCTGAAGAAGATAAGAGGCTGGTGATATGGGAAGGGAGTAAGGGATGAGAACGGGAATGATGTTACCAATTTGGATAATGATGAAATGGATGACAGGATTAGCTATGATGATTAATATTTCCAATTTGCAAACTCAAATCCATAAGCCTATTATGTTCTTTTGACTTGATTATTTATCCGTTTAAGTTTCATTGACTTCAGATTTTGTTTTTCAACAACTCTCTGTGGTTTTATCATTTGAACTACTATTATGAATTATCTATCCTACCCTATTTATTTTTCCATAGTTTTTACATTTAAATTTGAGGCTTACACCTCGTTATGCTTCAAAGCTTACGCCTCCTGAGGCAGTGGCCAACTGCCTCAGTGCCCTTTAAAAATATTGAGAAGTACAAAGAGATGATAGGAGATGAGGAGGCTATGCAGAGTGAGAATTACATAGAAAGATCTAGGTAAAATTCTATAAAAACCTATAAAGAAAGAAAAATTGAACCTTTGCTTTGTTTTTCATGCTTCATAAAACCATATAAAATATTGCAAGCAATGTACTCACACTAAGCAGTAAAGCCAGTAAGTACTTTTATACAAACAGTGAAGAAGAAAAACAACAAAGAAATATCCAAATATGTTCGGAGTACTACCATAAGCAACATCATTTATTGCAAGACCGTGCAACAGCTATCAAAAAACCCCAAACCCTTGGTAACCACTAATATCACTTAACAAAGAACTATTGCGCTCACAAAGTAATCCTCTATGGTAAAACGAGATATTTACTAACAGCTACAAGATGATTAATATTCTGATTATTATTATACGAGGGGTTGCAGGCTCGCAGTGGAATAATTACACTTACCGGAATTCCAAGAGCAATAGGATCAACTGGTGTATTGAAGGGCTCTGCTGCATCCATTTTCATCACTTTCTTTATAACCTAAATATGTAAAAACACAACTTTGGGTATGAATAACAAAGCAGAATTAATGTGATGTTAAAGAGAAAACCTTTTGCCAGGCATACCTCCAATGAAGCATCTAATTCTTTCTTATTATATCTAGAAGAACCCTTGGCAACTGAAGAGGGCTCTTTCTTAGGTGTCTTCTCCCCATTCAGTGTTTCAGTGTTAATGCACGGGCTAAAGTTTGAAGTGAAGCTCTTTGACTTGATTTTGATTCCCGTAGACTTTTTAAGTAAGTCTCCTCCTACAGATGGACTGACATTATTATTTGCCTCTGACAATGAGTTGGCAGCACTATCCTCTTCAATTTTTTCACTAGAAACGCCTTCTTGTTTCTCCAAACCTGATTGTTGGCTACTTTTTTCGGCTTGGGTTTGTGTTTCTGGAGAAGCGTCAAGCAGTAATGATCTAGAAGTCTTGATCTTGACTTTGACACGCCTATAAACTGCTTTCATAGCAGTGCTATCACTGAACCCGCCAGCGCTTGTTGTTGCAGGTTGTTTTGGAGGGGCTTGATCGGTGGTCACCGCCACGGTAGATGCTGGTGCTTCTGCATCCTCTCCTCCTCCTCCAGAATCTGAGCCACCGCCATCACTACTCTCTGCCTCTTCCTCCTCTTCCACAACTGAATCATCATTCTGAGTATTTACATCCTCATTTATTTCCATTACTTTAGGTTTCTTTTTGCCTTTCCCTTTCTTACTTACCCGCTTGCGCTTCTTCATCTTTGGTCACTAAGATTAAATCAAAGACGCCTTTTCAGGGTGAGATTCCGATTCCCGGGAGGGAAACCAAAATCCAATCATCAAAGCGTATGTTATGAACGAGAAGGCCTCTATAACCTATAAATCGCAATGTAATTCGGGATCATCGAATCCCTGATACGACTGACTAAAATAAATCTAGTACTCAGATTACGCTTGTAATTACCGATTAGGTTAGGGGTGACAATATCACTTCGGCCCGCGGATACCCGATCAACTCGAACCGAAAATATGGACGAAAACCCGAAGAAATATGGATGAAAATGGATGACGGGGGGATTGAAAGACGAGTTGGATCGGGCGTGGATGAACACTCATCCAACCCATCACCTGACCCGTCACCCGCTCTATCCACCCACACTCGCTGACCCGCATATAAATATATATACATATATTAAAATATCTATTTAATAATATATATTATTAATAATAATTAATTAATATTAATATATTAATAGATACTACCTCCGTCCCTTAAAACTTTGCCAAAGTTGATTGGCACGAAGAATAATAAAGTAAAAACTGTGTGACTGAGATTTGTGCAAAGGAGAGAAAAAATAACAGAAACCACGAAATAATTTATTAAAAGAAAAAGTGACAAAGTTTTTTGGGACATCCAAAAAAGGAAAGATAACAAAGGTTTAAGGGACGGAGGGAGTACTACGTAACTACAGAGTAGCATTGTAGCGACTAAGATAGGAGCTCAGCCCTAATCCAGTTGAACTGCAAAAATAGTTTTGTATTGATGCAGAAATGTAAAATTGACAACTTGAAGAACTTTTTTATCTATTTTGTTTGACAATTAGTTCTTTATTTATCATCATCAGTGAATTAATGATTGTAATATATACTACGTACTTAATTGGTCAAGTTTTTGTAGTTATTTTTTCAATGAATTTTTAATTTTTGTCATGATTTCTCTTTGTAATTTATTTATTTTGTCTTTCAAGCTTGACCTTTTGTATTCACCCGTTACTCACCTGATCCACCCGATAACCCGTTCATGATGGATGGGTTGGATGTGGATGCAAATTTTAATGGATGATGGACGGGTGAGTGGACTATGAAAAATTAACGGGTGGACGACGGATGAGCCTTCACCCGGTATAAATCCGACCCGTTGTCACCCCTAGATTAGGGCAGCCCCAAAATTGTTATAGACTTCTAATTTAGTACTCTCTCCATCTCATCGTACTTTGTTTGCCGTCCTTTATTGATTGTCTCAAAAAAATTGTCACTTTCATATTAAAGCAACTATTTTTGGATTTTGCACATTTCTCTCTTCTATGCACAAATTTCAACCACACAATATTTATTATTCTTATTTCTCACTTACTTTGCACTTGTCAAAGTCCACCAAGACGGAGGTAGTATAATTAACCTCCCTCATATGCATTTGAAAAAATCTTATCTCAATCTTATCTTTTAAAGATGTTTCAATAGCTTCTAATTTAGGTATAAATAAAATAACCGATTTTGAGCATACTTCGTAATATTGAAATGAATTGATTATATTGAAATTGATGAAGTTTTACCTAAAGCGTCTGAGTTGACTAAATATATGGGATATGAAAAAAATTATATTTAAAATGCGTAGTATATTTTATTCATAAAATAAAAAAACATGAAAATAAAGAAAACAGTGATTTAATACCATGTAGTAACTTCAGCCAATTCGACCAAAATAGTAACTCAAGTTTTACTTATTTTGATTATCAAACAATCGAACACTTAAAAATTAAAACTTACGTGTTTGATAAGGAAATTGTCCAATAAGACTGACAAGTCAAAAATTGCAGTAGTCGAACGTGCTCTTAGTCTCATTACTTTTAATTGAATTTGTTTTTAATCTTTTAACTTTACCCACTTGTAAATTTGTGCAATTAACTAATGAGAGAATTTCTAAAATAGGACTAAAAGATGAGACAATTGCAAAAACAGGACCTATTGTTTTAATTTTCCTAAATAAGACTAAAAATTTGTGTTTGGACATGAATAGCCTTAATGAAACCGCCGTAACATTTTATGCGCATCCCATCCTTGCCGCAGCCATCACCCAAACATGTGCGGCAACATCTTCCAGTGTCGCAACTGGGTATCCTCCAGCAAGTTCGCCACCTCCGCTGAGTTCGCCGCCACCATCCTCCGACGAAGCCACCGTTCTCCGACAAGTCCCTGCAACCTCCATCGAGAATGCCACTTGATATGCGAGAATGCCACTTGATATGCATAATGACACAATAATGACAATTTCGTATAGAATCATGGCATTCTCAATATGACAATTTTAAATACTGTAATGACATAAAAGAGACATTTTTCAAAAAAAGTGTCATTTTTTTAGAATCATTAGTTAGGACATTTTGAGGATCAAATTAATCAAAAGTGATAAGAAGAAATTCAAGTTGAGATATATCCTATTACTTGTCCTGTTTGTAAATCTAGCTCTTCATTTGAGTAATAAAATTACATCTTTATAAAGTGACTAGCATAAAAATGACACTATTTTGTCAAACGGGCAAAAAACATGACATTTCATATATTTTTATTTCAAGGTGATCTTGTCAGTTTAATATATTTGTGACCTTTTTTTAATTCAATTTTAAATAGTTATGAAATTTTCAAATTCAAAAATAATAAAATAAATTAAAAATCCAATAATTTTTTTATAACACTCGTTGCTCAAAACTTGTTCAATTCCCGTCCCCTCTAACCTTATTCAATTGCCATCCCAAGGGACAAAATTTATCAGATCTAATTGAATCCCAAGGGACAAAAACAGAGCACGACCAAGAAGGAAGTGGAAGAGAAAGAAGAGAGGAGAAAAGATGGGAAGAGAAGATAGAAGGAGAAGAAGAAATTACTTGATTCCATGAGAAAAATTGCAGAAGGCTGTCGGAGATGGAGAAGTTTGGCGGTTGCTATGGATGCGGGTACCGACGAGCAACGGCAGCGGCGATGGTTGTCGCTGATGAGGAAGGAGCTGGACAACAGCTCCTAAACCGGGGAGATGCAAATCGATGTAAGAGACGGTGATGTTGGATTTAAATAGGAGAAGGGCAAAAATGTAATCTGGAGTCCTATTTAGGGATAAATAAACTTATACTCCTATTTTGGAGTTTTGCCAATGTTTTAGTCCCATTTTGTACAATTTCTTTAACTAATAGAATTATCCACGTTACGATCTTTCAACTAGAAAATATACTTGCCCACGTAAAACTTGGCATCAACATCTTTTCTAGTATGCTTTTTGGTAGAACGTGTATTTTCCGATTGAATAGTTCTTAATATGGTCACATTTCTTAGTTATACGTCATTAGTAAATGTGAAAAGTAGTAGTTAATTATAAGTTTATAATCATTCTAATATTACTAAATATGACATACACAAATTTACTGGAACAAATAAAATCGGTGAAATGAGACAAACTGAAAAAGATAGGGGGCGGATGAAATATTATTTACTATGAGATGTAAATCTATGATTTATATGACTGATGAAAATCATTTAATAAATAAAGTTCACATACCACTACATCCATGGTTCTTGTTGTTAGATGGTAACCCCTTGATGTTAATTGGTAACAGTCTCTAAGGTAAAAATGCATACCCATTTTAAAAAAACAAGAACTCTTTCTAGATGTTTTTATTTGTACTCAAATTTGCTGATCTGATCCGGTCTAGTCTATTTAAATCTGGTCTGGTGAATGTATGACCTCAGTGTATTTTATAACTATGGAAGTCTGGTCTATTTAAGTATTATCTGGTCTAGTCTGATTTGATCTGTTTATGTCTGGTGTGAGAGTGAAAATGATCCAATTAAAAATATCCTCACCCATAAGCTTTTTTGTGCTTTCCCTATTTTACCCTCACAAGGACAAGTCCTTACCGGCTATTCACCTGTCCGCCACTCGAAACACTACTCCCCGTACAACTTGCATTTGCCTCAAATTTTGTCTCTTTCATCCATCTTTTAAAAAAGGAAAAATTGATAATAATAATCTCAACTATTGACGGTCCGTTCATAATAATCCCAACTATCGATTATTTCAGAATAATCCCAACTTTATGTACCTTCCGTCAATAATGGTCCGATGTGCCGGCTACAAATAAATTCTAAAGCGGATAAGAAGAGATATACCAAGTAATCCCTATAAATAATCCCAACTTTTAATTTTTACGTTTGATTCTCTTTAAAATTCACTTGTTATATGAGGTAGTATCTAGTCATGGACCATTATTGGCGGACGATCTATATAGTTGGGATCATACAAAAATAATCAATAGTTGGGATTATTGTTAGCGGACCGGCAATAGTTGGGATCATTATTTTCAATTTTTCCTTAAAAAAATGATTTTTTGCTATTTGAAGAAGTTGCTATGAGAATTGCAAACTTTCATAATTTTCCATTTGTTTTTTATTGGAATGATTTAATCTAGACCCAGATATTATTGTGCCCTTAACATTCAATTAATTTCTATTGGGCCTTACTCCTTAGCATTGGCAAGATTTTTTTGTTTCTCTGTTTCACACTCACGTTGGCAAGATTTTTTCCTCGAGACCTAATCATTTAGGACACATTTATTTCACGGGTTAGTAAACAGTGCTTATTAAAACTCGCGTTAATAAGTGACGCATAAAATAAGCAGTGTTGTAAGCTCATGTTTACTTCAAAGGATTTAAAACACCGTTTAACATTAAAATGACCAAAATAACCCTATAGATATATATACACACAAACATTAATGAACACAAGTATAAAATATAATACTTACCCCCAATTCCACACCCTATACCTCCACGTCTCACTCTACCCCCAAATCCACACCCTTGACCCTCACCCCCTTCCCTACCCCTACCCTTACCACGACCTTACCCTCCACCACCCCTATTCACACTCATACCAACCCCCACCCTATTTGTAGGGGTTGGGTCAAGGTAGGGGCAGGTGATATGGGGTAAAGGGGTAGGGGTCGGGGTATGGTAATGGAAGTGGGTGGGGTCGGGGTCGAGGTGGGGTCGAGGTAGGGATATGTGGTAGGGGTAAAAGGGTAGGGTCGAGGTAAGGGGTACAAGTGGGGGTAGGGGTAAGGTGGGGGTAGGGTCGGGGTCGGGTCAAGGTAAGGGAAGGTGGTAGGGAGTAAAGGGG